TGTCCTTGGGTATCTGGCTTCCTTAAGAATGACAGAGTAGTTCTTGTTTTCCCCTGAGGTAATGCAGGGCTGGTAACTATCATCTTTTCAAGTTGCAAGTTCTTCAACCTTGTTTTCGGCCTCTGGGCCATCCAGCGCTGGAGAGGCCGGGGGCCCGGGGGCCGGCCGTTGCCTGCCGTTTGGCGTGCGGCTGTGCGGGGGCAGAATGACTAATATTTCTTTAATCTTTACCAAGTCATAAATTTTATGACTAAAATTTTTATGAAAATTATTTCTGTTTTTGTGGTGGAAACAATGAGCCATAATGATGGATATGACAATCATGTTAATGGAAGTCAACTTAGTATATAATACCTACCTTAAGCTTTTTAAGTTGTATTACTTACATTTAATCAGTATATAGCTTTATAGTGTGGTTTTTCCCAGTGTGAATACAGTGCATATTAGTCAAGTCAAAGATATTACCATGTACATTATCATCAACAGATAACTTTTCATTTTTGTTTCTGTTAAATGTCTCCCCCCCACCCCCACCCTCCCTCTCTCTGTTACCTGCCTCCTCCTATACTGTATGTAGTATCTGCAGTTGCCCTCCCTGCTATTACCCCATCCAGTCTTTCAGTTTCTGTCATAGAGTACAGACATTTGGTATATATTAAGCGGGCACGTACAATGCCTGTCTTTCATAGTCTGGCTTGCTTCACTTAGCATTAAGTCTGTATTTGTTCACTTTGTATGACGTGGCAGGGTCTCATTTTTCTTTATGGCTGAGTAGTATTCCATAGTGTATATACCATATATTTTCAGTCCATTCATCTGTTCTTAGACACTTGGATGGATTTCAAGTCTTAGCAATTGTGAATAATGCTACTATAAACATGAATGTACGAGTATTTCTATGACTGATTGTTTTCCTATCCTTTGGGTAAATACCCAGGAGTAGGATTATTGGGTCATATGGTAGTTCTAGTTGTAGGTTTTTCTAGAACCTCCATATTGTTCTCCATATTGGTTGTACTAGTTTATATTCCCACCAACGGTATAGCAGAGTTCTCTTTTCACCACAGCCTCCCTAGCACTTATCCTTCTGTATTTTTAAAATCTTAGCCATTCTGACTGTGGTTTAGTAGTATGATACCTAACTTTCTAAAGTTAGAGTATACTATAATTATCAGTTGTTAATTGGAGGTGCCACTTTTTTAAAGAGAGATTTTTGCTATATGGTACATGTGCTCACCAGAGAGACAGAGACACACAAACAGAAAGTGAGAAACCCCCTGGAGGGATTGCCACACTGCGGCCTCTTCTCCTTCATTCTCCTCTTCTCTTTGGATTTTGGGCACTCATGCATTCATGCTGGGTGTGAGTTTCAAGCCATTGGGTCCAGGACTCAAACTGCAGTTGGCCATGTGGGAGTCTAGCAACATAACCATTATGCCATCTACTGGCCTCAAGGAGGTACGGTGTTTTAAAAGTGTCAAAGTTACTTAAACCTGTAACTTGTGACCAATGTAAACATAAAAGAGGTAAGGGGTGATGAATTTGGAAGTGTGTATGTGTAATATGAATAGCAGGGTATTAGGAAAGTCCTGACCTGTTTTTCTATGCAAAACTGTATCTTGACTTTCCCAGTAGATCCTCTCACATTCCTTCCTGGGCTTTACTTTTCCAGAAGCACTGCTTCATGTTTGGTGTAAGGCATACAAAACCACGACAGCTGCATGAGAGTGTGAAAGTCAGACTTGTGGTGTGTGTTTGTGAACTGCTCTTGGTGACGTTTGCAATTGGTACGTTTCCTCATAGCTCATTGCAGTCACCTTCTCAGTTCAGATCAGGTTTCTGAGGGCAGACCAGATTGGAGACCGAAGTACAACATGTGGAGGGTCCAAATTCCCTTTTCTGCCTGTTGTTCTTGCTCACGGCATCGTTAGCTAATGTGATGATTTTTATCTGATTTCATTGTTTCCATTTCTGCTCTAAGGTTTGCAGTGGAAATTATAATAGTATCAGAGAACTATGATTTGTCATTTTTTTTTTAATGTGAGGTGGGGAGAGGCTTTCCTTCGCTCTTTGTCATTTTTTTCTTTTCTATTATATCCTTTAAAAGGCAATGTTTCCTAATGCTTAATTTGCTTATTTATTTAGTAAATACTTATCAAGCCTCTGCACCGTGCTGGAACCTGGAGGCAAGCAGTGCCACGGACAGGCAGGCCATGATATCACTGACAGCCGGAGTATACACAGAGCTCTCTGGCCCTGGCTTCAGGAAGAACCCAGAAATTCCCTCTGTCCCTTCTTCTCATTACCTAGAGGTGATTGTAGATGGGGTGGAATGTGGCTACATATCTTAGCCAATTTTCATAAGGCCTTAGAGAAGATAAATACAGAGCAGAAATGTTCACCTGTCGTGGCACCTGCATCATAGCAGGGGCAGCCAGACAGCAGACGCAGTGTGGAGCAATGCCTGGGGTGTTTCAGAAGGTGCACGAGCTGTGGGGAAACTAAGCAGGGGACACGGATGGCTGTGCTGCTTTAGGGGTGTCAGGTTAGGCCTCGTTGAAGAGGTGACACTTGAGCACAAGACTTTGCAGGGCAAAGAGAGTGAGCCATGTGGACATCTAGGGGTAGGAGTGTCCCACATAGAGGGGCAGGCAGTGCAGAGTCCCTTTGGTGGGCATAGAACATCAAAGTGGTCAGGGTGTTAGGAGCCAAGGAACCCCTGGAGATGAGCTATCCACCCAGGGTGCAGATGGAGGGGCTGTACCATCCAGGCTGCGCTGCAAATGTCGGTGCCTGTTCTGGGAAGGTTGGGGAGCTGCTGGCGAGCTTTGAGCAAGGGAGGAAGGGTATGATTGATATTTGGAAAGGATCACTGACGTTGGGTTGAGAGCATAGTGGAAGTGGTGAGAGCATACCCAGAGAGACCAGGTGTGGCTGTAAATCAGCAGAGCTGGGGCAGGGTGAGGGCATTCGAGGCGGTGAGGAGTTGCTCCTGGCTGTGGGTTTTGGTGATAGATTGCATAAAGTAAGAGACAGAAACATCAAAGATATCTAAGGTTTTGGGTCTCAGCAACCAGTAATATATTTCTTGTAAATTTTAATTACGAGTTTACTTGTTAAGTAGGACTTACCAGTGTTGCTTTTAACTGATAGTAGAGGAGCTTGATCGCAGAACTGGCTACTTAGTGGTGGTTTTTATATTAGCATATATGATTTCATAAATAAAAGAGCATAGTGGTTTGCTTATACTTTTCGTTTACGTTGCCATTAACTATAGGCTATTTCTGTTCTTTTAAGAAGTCACTGGGTTAGGAATTAATTTGTTTTTAACATCAGCAGTAAGAAAACGAGTAATGATATCACCACACTAGCTAGTGCTCACATGGTATTTTAGTGCTGTGACCTTAGCCAGTGACCTTAGCCAAGTTGCCCAACCTCTCTCGGCCTTATTTTCCTTTTCTATCGGAATGAGGATGTGATCTGGTGGTTTACCTTCAGTGTTCTATAGGACTGGTGATAGGGGTGGCAGCCATGGTTGCTGTTCGCAGTGTTCCTGTCCCGTGTGCTCTCCTCAGTGGCCTGTCCGAGCTCCCCCCTTAGTTAGCCTAGCTGGCTTGTGGGAGTTGCTCTTTCATCTCAGCATCTCTCCAACTTCTCCATAGCTTCAGGTCTTGCACACTGGGAGTTGAGGGTATGAGGATTCTGAAATAAATGACACATTGGTGTCATGGAGTGGAGGGAGAGAAGGTCCATGCACTGGTTACTTCTAGGTCAGAAACCAGACTCATCCCTCCCCTCAGTCTCCACACTCCTTCTCAGGTATATCCTCCTGTCCTCTGTCCTCTGCCACCTGCTGCGTCAGTTCCCGCCACTGCCACACCTCTCTCGTACCACTTTTTCTTGCTCAGGTGGTCCCGTAGCACCTGTTCATCTGGCTCTCCGCCCTTCTTGATGTGGGGTACGGTGTGCTGTGATGGGGTGCTGTGCTCTGTAGACACTCAGGAATGAGCCAGGGCGTGTGCTGGCTCCTGTGTCTCTTCCTGCTTGTATGACCCTGTCTTTATTCCTACCGTTCTCATCTTTAAAGGAGATGTGAGAGTACTGATTTTGTTTAGAGGATATGAAGATTAGATGTATTAGTATTTTGTGTGTAGAATATAACAGGTGACTGTTAAAGGTAGCTTTCGTTTTTTAACTTTCGACAGCCCTGAGTTCCAAGGTAGACTCCCAGTTTGCTCCCAGTGCAGTCTCTCAGTGGCTGGTTCAGAGTAAGTGCCACGCTAGCCTTCTGGGAGTGGTCAGATGGCATCCGTGCTCACACCTGTGCTTGGGTCCTTCCCACAGTGGCAGTAGTCGTTTATGGTCCTGGTCGCTCCTTGCCCATGGTAGGAGCTGGGCTGTCTTTTGTGAACGACGACTGGTCTGTTTGCCTGTTTCCTTGGGTCTTTCTCTAGCTTATTTGCCTGTGTTTTTTCTGGAGCCCCTTTCTTCCCAGTGTTGCCCAGGGTCAGAGTTCAGGCTGGTGAATGGCGAGTTTTCCCTGGGACATACAAGAGGTCACTGGAGCGCAAGCTGTTGTTAGGAACCTGAAAGTAGAGCTTGGAGACACTGCTGTGTGGAGACCAGTGCGTTAGGATGGAGGCAGACCAAGCCGGCCCACTGACACGGCACACTGACACGGCACACCGCTCCTGCCCACAGCCTTGGCAATGCCTTGTTTTCAGAAATTGTAGATTTATAATCAGAGCCTTGGCCATTGTCACAGCTCAGTGAAGTACTTGATTTTTGACTATTTTATGGCATTGTCCTACTAGCAAAACCACCCACGTGTCAGGAAGCTGTGGAGAGCACCAGCATTTGTTAGTCTGCCCGAAGGTCAAGGCACCAGGAGCCCAGTTACAGTTTTGGTGACCCTTTCCAAGTACCAGGATCTCGCTGCTCAAGTGGAGTGTGCTCAGATAGCTGTTTGTGAGATGGCCTTGATTGTCTCTGGATGGAAAAAGTAAAGTGATTGTTCTGCATGTCAAACTGCTAGTGCAGATTGCTAGGTTATTTTTCTGTGCTACTTCAGTGAGAGTTTATTACTTATATTCTGAAACTAAAAAAGCCATCTTGTATCTCGGATCCCTCAGTAATCCCTAATTTTAAAAGAATTTGACTATCTCAAGTTCTTGTTTTTATGTTTCTTGTTTTTTCTAGATAGTTTTATAAGTTTACAAACTTCTTATGAAAGTATCAATCAGTAAATATTTTTTTAAAAGAATTATTTTATTTGAGTTTATTATTATTATTTGTTTTAATTTGACCAGAGAAAGACAGAGAGAGAGAGAGACAGAAAGAAAGCGAGAAAGCAAACTGCCACCTCCAAGACTCATCAGCAGCCAGCCATGTGAGAGTCCAGTGTCTTTAACCACCACACTTCCTGATGGTCTCTAGAAAAATATTTAACCTCAGAAATATTTAGGTTCCTGTAGACACATCTTTTACAAACATTTTTTAAGTGTTGATCAAGATTCCGCCCCTCCCCCCCATTATTCTTATTTCATCAAGGTTCTTAATTTTTACTGGAAGGTCAGAATTAGGTTGGTAAGTGCCAAAGGCATGACTTTGAAAATAAAAATGGCTTTAGGAGCCATCTACAGACAAGATCTGGGTTAGTTTTAGAAGCTGCTGTCAGTTTTGTAAACAGAAGTTTGCTGGGTGAATTGAACCCGAGGGTGAGATTAGCATATTAATAAGGTGCTAGTTGCTGGCCTTCTCTTTTCTCCTCCCTCTTTTCCCTCCCTCCCTCTTTCCTTCCCCAGTGAATCTAGGAACACAGGCCCAGGGGTCATATTACTAACTAGTTTCATTCAGTCAGTAGCTTAATCTGGCCAGGATGGTCTGTGTTTCAGGTTGCGGAAGCATGAGAAGATTCTGTAACTGAGAGGCATTCTTCAAGCTGCTGGAAAATATTACAGAAGGAACACCTCCCAGATTTTGCTTCAAACTCTGAAAATAACGAGCACACGGGGGAAGCTTAGTCTTGCTTGTGGATCGAAGCAAATGCTATCTGAGAAGTGAACGGGGACTTGGCGCGTGGACTCCTGGCGTGGTCTGTATAGGACAGGGTGCATGTTGTGGGGACGGGCAGGACCCGAGGCCCTGAAGTCAGCAGGGGCCATCTGTATGGAGAGACGCGGCTGTGGTCCATTTCCAAGGTGTTGGGCTAAAGGTACAAAGAACTTAAAACCTGTTTGGTTAATATTTTATTTAAATTCATGTTTTTGCATAAGAAGGTAGATAAGAGGCTTTCAGAATTTATTTCAAATGCATTTACAGTTAAATTTGAGGGAAAATGGAAATTGATGTGGTACGGGTTTGTGACAATTGCATAAAATGAATTAGGTAGCTTTTCAAATAGTAAAAATACTTACAAAAATGTATCTTAAGTGAGTTTAACTTCTATGTGTTCTATGTTTCTTTAAAAACTTGCTTTATTATTTTTTTAATCAAGATACCCATACCTGTTCTGTGATATGGTAGTTTTTAAAGAATAAATAACCTAATTTTAACTTAAATAGTGTGGGGGAAAACATGGATTTTATTAATATTTTTGAAACTGACTTTCTTTACTCACTGTAGAGTGTGTATTTATTTAATTTGAAACTTATTATTGTGAAGTGGGCTTGTCACTAAGGGTCAGAGATACTGAATAAACAATTTTGCACTTCAGTTTTAGGATTTTCATTCATATTAAAATGTAAATATGAAATACAGTGTTTTGATTGTAGCATTCAGGACAGTATTTGGAAAGCATATTTAGAAGTTAAAAGTGCCACATAATTTGTGCATGACTGAAACCAAGTAAATTTGGCTGTTGCTTAAAGTAGTAGTGACCATTTTACCTAGGAGATAAAGTCCTTTCTGGAGAATTCAGTGAAAATACTGTTATTATTTCGTACATATTTAGACGTCATGTTAACTCACTAAGGAAGGGCTTTTACAAAGGATGCTGCGCTGGGTAAACAGCTGCAGTTTTATAGGTAGGACAACAGGCTGACTCAGTTTTGCTTTTAGGTAAAGATTTTAGCATCACTAGCCTATTGATATGTTAGCACCAAACTAGTTTCACCATTTTATTTGTTTTTCACTGATTAAATTGTCATTGTCATTTATTAATTCTTCTCTAAGCTTTAAACATTTATAAAACGTGATATTGGAGCTTTTAGGATTATAGTATCTAAACAGAGCACTTGTCATTTTTTTTACATAATCAGGTATTCAGAGTGAAGACTTTATGGAGTTAACTCAAAGTCTTGAATAAAAAAAATTTAATTTTATTCATTATTTTCATTTGCTATAGGGCACGTGCACTCACTAGAGAGAGAGAGAGAAAGTAAGAAAGCAAGCCGCCAGGTCTGGGACTCAAACTGCTTGGCCATGTGGGAGTCCAGCATCCCAACTGCTGTAACACCTGCCTTCCCCTCAAACTCTTCAGTTTTAAAGGGCACTGAGTGTGGAGTCCGTTCAGACTGGTAGCTTCTCAGTGTCAGGACTGTACAGTGAATCGAGCATGGCCCTGACCAGCAGGGCAGTGCTGAGAGCGCTACACCGCTGCAGTTCGGTCTTTCCTGGAGTCGCTGGGGCTCCTTGCCGGATGTTACGGTGGTGTGCGGTAGGTAGCTCCGTGACCACTGATACGTGACAGTGAGGCTCTCTGACTTCCTTCACCACGTCTAGCTAGTGTAAGGATCTCCAAATCCAGTGGCAATGTGATACTAAGTACTCAGCTAAGGAATTTCTTTTTATCAAAAGTGATATTAGAAATGTGAACTTTGGAAGAAAAGAGAGACGGTAGTGCTTTTCCCCTCACTCCAAGCTAATGGACTGAAGAAACTTGTTTTTCAGTGATGTTTGTTGATTGCCAGAGCAAAAGGACAGAGCTCTTTTCACCTGAAATGTGCATTATGATAGAGGTTGAATTTGGGTGAGAGAGCAGAGCTCACATGTGCAAGGTAGAAAGGGTCGGAATCAGCCGCACGCACTAGGAGGGCTGAGCGAGCCACCCCCACCCCTCGGGCTGAGCACTCGCTCTTGCGTGTGGTCCTGGAAACCCGAAGAGCTTGTCACCCTCTCAGGCTGAGCACACTGCCTCACAGAGCTCACCCAGCCAGCTATCTTAGTGGACTTCCTCTCTGCCTTCTCGCTTTACTCTTCTGAACCAGGACAGGAAGGCATGACGGCTGTTTTCATGCTGACTCATTTCTGTCTGTGTGATAAGGACAAAGATATTGGTGTATAGGAGTTGATTCAATTGGTTATTTTCAAGTATAAAAGTTATAAAGACAGGGCTCAGATCCAAAAAAATACACCAGTTTCTGCACTTAGACATTCTAAACCATGCATGTGATTTTTATCCGTCACATTAAACTCAAAAAACCTAATAGTGTCCTAATTTAAGAACAAGACAAATATTTATCAGGAGAGGCCAGAAATACTGGAATAAACATGTATACTTTGAACAGAAACCTGTAAGTCCGGGTTGTAAAGACTTTGGGGTCTTTCTGTAGCACTTTACTGTACTGTCAAATGCAGTGTAAAGAAGCCATCACAGGTGGACCCAAGGTAGGGAAGATTCTATTTCAAAGTATTCTAAAAGGACTGTACAACTATATTATGATTTCCTAGGCTTCAAAACAGTTTTAAATCAGAGCATTTAATTCAGTGGAATGTGTGATGCTGTGTTAGTTGCAAGACTGTTGAGTGCAGAAAGCCCTGTTTGGGAATTTCTTTGATTATATCAGTATGTTCCATTATTGATTTCATGTTGAAAGGCTGAGAAGGATTAAAGAGATCAGAGATTTGGTTGTTAGAAGTGTTTGTTGATTTCTTCTGGTTCTTTCAGTAGTAGATTGATTGAATATACTCTTTTTTGGGGGGAGAGGTTTTTGCTATAGGGTGTATGTGCTTGCCAAAAAGACAGAGAAAGACAGAAAGCGAGAAACCAGCCCCCAGGGGGATGGTCACGCCCCAAACCCTTCTCCTCCATTGTCCTCTCCGGATCTTGGGCACACATGCACACGTGCCTGGCATGGTTTCAAGCCACCAGGTCCGGGACTCTAACCGTGGTCGACTACATGGGAGTCCAGCAGCATAGCCATTACACCAACTGCTGGTCCCCTTGAGTGTTCGTTGGTATAGTTCTTAGTCCTGTGGTTGTGGTCACGCTTGTTCTGTATTAGTATTTTAAACGCCATCCATCCATGTGAGCATGCAAATATCCCTCTGTACAGCCTGTCTTCTCTTCTGGGTCTCAGACTCTGCTGGTCAGCTGCTTCATGATATTTGCATTTGTTTTTTCTTTTCAAAGTATCTGATGCCTTGCCAGAGACAAGTTTCTTAATTGCTGCTGCTGATTCTCCCTTATCATAATAAACATGTCAGACTCCCATCCACTCGTGTTTATGCCACAGATCCAGAATGTTTCTGACATCCTGTTCCATCCATCTTTTTACCACGTTGATTTTATCTCCAAAATATATCTTGAATTTTTAAATTTTTCTTACTGTCTGTTATGTCCACTCTGGTCCAGTTTACTTTCTTCTCTTCCTGGGCTATGGGAGTAGCCTTTTGTCTGGTCTTTCTGTTCCCACATGTGTTCATCTTTCATATCGCAGAGTGATTTTGTATCTAACCTGATGTTATCTTCCTGCCTAGAACTCCTTGGTAGCTTCTCATTAGTTTTGGATAAAAGCTTACATCCCTAATGTGGCCTTCCCACAAGGACTCAGCTGATCTGGGTCCTCTCCTCCTCCAGCTTTGGGCCTTTGTGTGCTTAACTTGTGGTTATTTTCCCTTTTCAGTGCCTTTCACACCCCCAAACTCTGCCTGCTCAACTCCCACTTAGCTTTCAGATCTCAGCTTAATGAGCGTGCATCTCCCTCAGGCTAACCCAGGTTCTTGCCGATCTTTGCTTCCCTCGCCTTTTCTTCCGTGTGGTGTAGTGTTTATTGCAATTTGTTGTAGTATATTTTTTTATTTCTATATTTCTTTTACTAGACTATAAATGTGATGTAGAAAAGATAACAGATTTTTACTGTTTGGCAAATAGTTGTGCAAATGGTATTATTGAATGAATGACTAAATTCATTCACAGAATCATAAAGCTCCGACTGTTTCCAGAGGCTCATTGAGAGTCACAGTCTTGTGACTAATGCACATTATTTTGTTAGGCAAATCTAGTTTCAGAAGCATTGGACTATTAGAGAAAGCTTCCATGTTAAACTAACTTGTTGCGTTTGTGTTTGGTTTTTCCTCTTAGAATAAGAGTATATACCACAGTCCAACATAGCATTCTACTATAACTGGTGATTAATCAGTGTCTGAACATTTATGATACTGCTGGTCTTATTGTCAATTCCTATTTTGGTTCAAATATTTCATGAATTCTTTTTGCACACTTGTTTTTTCTTCTAATAATGGTATTTTAAAGAGAGATGTGTTTCTTAAAATAACAGCTAAAACTTGTGTGGCACATACTATGTGCCATGAACTATTCTGAGCTTTTCACATGCAGCAATCATGTATTATCTCATTTAGTTCTCAAAAAAGCCCTCCAAGACAACTTTCCTTCTCCCCATCTCACAGATACAGCCGGTGAGCCTCGGGGATGAACTAATCTGGGCAGTCGTTGCACAGCTAATAGAAGACAAAGCCAGGTGTTGGACTATAGGGCTCTCACTGTGGGGCCTGTGAGGTTATCGTGCTGTGCACTCCTGGCTGAATTGTCTATTTTGTGTAATTTAAAAAATTTTATTTAGTATGTTGTTATTATTTATTTTGCTATAAGGCACATGTACTCATCAGAAATAGACAGAGAAAGAGAGAGAAGGAAAGTGAGAAAGTAAAGCCACCAGGTCTGAGACTTGATCCATGGCTGGCCATGTGGGAGTCCAGTGCCTCAACTACCATACCACCTGTTGGCCCTTGTTTTGTGTAATTTAAAAAAATTTCTCACGTTCCTTCCAGATGGAGACAGTGAGAGGGAACGTGAGAAATCAACCCCTAGGGAAGGTGACTATACCACAGTCTCTTCTCTGTTCTCCTCTCAGGATTTTGGGCATGCATGCATATGTGCCTAGCATGATTTTTAAGCTACCAGGTCCAGGATTCGAACTGCAGCTAACCATGTGGGAGCCTTAACCAACATGCCACCTGCTGACCTCCTCCTTT